TTAAGGCCCGTATGCACGTACATCCCCGCTGGGGAGGGGAGGGGATCTGAGAGCGGATACGTCATAACTCGCTACTCTACGTATCTTTCTTCTTCTTTCTCTATCTTGCTTATGAAGTTTTTCATACACTCATACCTGCGCATAAGGGATGCCAGGTTCCTTCCATACAAGAATGGTTTTTTGCCATTTTGTGCGATCCCCTGCGGATCCCCAGGGGATCTCCAGGGGATTAGCGCTCATTTTCAAAGTAATATATCTTCCTGAGAAGTCAATGAAAACACCGCAAAATTGTACTCAGGATATAATACGGCACTGCTAAGCATGTTTTCAACAGGGGAAATGGAATCTGAAGATTATGAATTTTTCGATGATCCCTAGCTTTCGAGCCAGGGATTAGCGAAGATTTCTACATCCTGAGATTTCATTTATTTCTACTATAAACATCTTTAGCAATGCCGTAGTATATCCACAGTACAATTTTACAGCGTTTTCATTGAGTTTTCAGGAAAATAAATGGCACTGAAATTGAGAAGTGATCCCCTGGAGATCCCCAGGGGATCTCCAAGGGATCACACAAAATAAAAATCTAATCAATTATGCCAGTAAACTGGCATCAGTTATGCGCATATATTAGCGTATGAGAAACTTCATAAACAAGATAGAAAAGGAAGAAGAAAGATACCTTGAGTAGCGAGATATGACGCATCCCCTCTCAGATCCCCTTCCCTCCTCAGCGGGGAGTACGCAGAGGTGCGATAGGTGGAGCAGGGCCCCCAAAAGTGAAGGTGGTTCCAGCTACCACTGGCCGGCCAAAAGTGAAGGTGGTAGTGCCGGACACTCACCTTCCAAAAACGTCGACCGGGGGGGGGGGGCGTTAACGTCGACTGAGCCTATCCTTCCAGGTCGTTCCGACAGTGCGCGGAAAATAAGCAAAACAAACGCAAAAAAAGATTATTGAAAGCATATTTTTATGTATACGGCGGCATATATGTATATTTAAAACAAACGTGTTTAGTAAATGGTGTGTATTGAAGTGAGAGTCAGCGAGACTTCACGGATTTCATCAAGTAAATTTTGTTATAACGCACTGCAAAGGAAGTAGGTCGATCCAGGCAGTAACCGCCGAGAACCAGAATTTTGAATAATAAAATAACGATAAATTATGCGAAACTTCCACTTTTATAAATCTTGCGGTTGAAGATGTCAGCAATTGCGACTTCATAGGATTTGTTGTCCTACGAGATGGTGAAACAATCAGCTTGATTTGAGCAGTGACCGCCGAGAACGAGGATTTTAAAAAATTAAGCGATTTTAGGTTACTTAGTGACAGCTGACGTTCAGACTCCTATAAATCTGGAATGTGAAAGTGTGCAATGTTGCGACTTCATAGGTTTTGTAGGGTAAAAATTGCTCTATCGGACTATGCCTTAGCCGTACCGATCCATCTAGATAGCGCCGAGATTCAGGCTCTTAAAAAAACAGGTGAAAAACCGCTTTTTGAACTTCAACAGCTCATAACTTCTTCAGAATTGCATGAATCATGTTGCGACTTCATAGGTTAGATTCTCCTCATCAAGAGCTTTCAGATGATATATGATATTTGGGGGGTTCAATGATTTTTGCGGCTCTAACCCAGGGTGGAGACTTTTCACCCCAAAGTCTCCACTGGCGGTCTCCGGCCAATACATTAACATGGGCGAGGTGGAGACTTTGGGGTGAAAAGTCTCCACCCTTGGTTAAAGCCGCAAAAATCATTGAACTCCCCAAATATCATATATCATCTGAAAGCTCTTGATGAGGAGAATCTAACCTATGAAGTCGCAACATGATTCATGCAATTCTGAAGAAGTTATGAGCTGTTGAAGTTCAAAAAGCGGTTTTTCACCTGTTTTTTTAAGAGCCTGAATCTCGGCGCTATCTAGATGGATCGGTACGGCTAAGGCATAGTCCGATAGAGCAATTTTTACCCTACAAAACCTATGAAGTCGCAACATTGCACACTTTCACATTCCAGATTTATAGGAGTCTGAACGTCAGCTGTCACTAAGTAGCCTAAAATCGCTTAATTTTTTAAAATCCTCGTTCTTGGCGGTCACTGCTCAAATCGACCTGAATCTTTCACTATCTGGTAGAACAACACTTACCCTTTGAAACCTATGAAGTCGCAATTGCTGACATCTTCAACCACCAGATTTATAACAGTGGAAAGTTCGCATGATTTTTTCGCTATTTTATCATTCGAAATTCTGGTTCTCGGCGGTTACTGCCTAGATCGACTTACTACATAGACATATGCTCTCAATACTTTCTTTTGCGTTCCTTTTTCTTTTTTTGCTTCTTTTAAGCTTCAGCAAAATTTTTTTTCAAACCCAAAAGTGAAGCTGGTCACCCGTACCAGCTCAAAAGTGAAGGTAGGCGGAGACTCGGCTCCGACTATCGCACCTCTGGATGTAGGTGCATACGGGCCTAAGATGTTGCAGTGTTTTTTCGAGAACCGAAACTCATTATAGAGTCAACAATGGTCTGCAAGCAGGTTCTTATTCTTTATCCTTCACCTTTTTCATTTTGAAACTTGCCCATCTTTCTGTGGGAAAAACAGAAGAGTAGATGTTAGTTGCGCTTAGCTCTTTAGGCTTGGTAATCGATTTTTCTGGGGTGATAAGTTAATCGCATTACACGGAGAGTCATCTGTTTGTTTTTTTTCCCTTGGCTGTTAATCAGAAATCAAGCATCTATTAAAAAACGTTAGCGTATGTGCCATTGTTCTCCTTTTTCAAATTTGCACAAAACAAATGCCTTAAGCTTCATTCTCTTGACAAGTTTACTTGGAATAAAATTCTTCCTTTAAGTATGTTCTCAATGTCGAAAAGAATTTGTGGAGTCTTTTACATCTCCCAGTTTGTATATAGGGTTGTGAAGTGAACTCTCAAATCATTTTACTGTTAAGAGTTTGATTTATGTTTTCTGAATTTAGTATTCTGTTGAACGTCCCATTCTTTTATATATGGATGTGCGTCTGCAAATGTATTCGACGTTGTTTCAAAATGAGAAAAGATTACCTTTCCAAACAACAATGTGTCTGGGTTCTGATATCTTGCATATCTATAGAAATTTGTAGTGATTCTCAATAAATCAAAGGTGTATAATTCCTCAAACTGTTGGGAAATTCTCGGCCGAGGACATCTTTTTCATTTGAGTGATGCCGAAGAAAATACACTCTAGGAATGTAATTTTTCCGGTCGAAGTTATCCGTTTGGGTCTAGCAGTATATAGCTGCTGTTATCACTGTTTCCGGTTTTACCAGCTTTCGCTATCACAGTAGTGTAATTGTTGTGTAAACAAGCGTTCGTCCGTTTTTATCGGACTCTTTCAGTGAATAAAAATTGTTCTTCCAGTCTAATTTTGTCGCGCAATTTTCCGTTCTTCGGCTGGCGACTATATAACAGCGAGAAGGAATGATTCATTCTTCATCATACGGAAACTTGATGAAAAGAACTTGTAATGTAATCGTAATGGGACGATAACTAGTCAGCTTTTGTAAAGATCTAGGTTCGGGCTTAGAATTCGCCGGTGTAGCTTTCCTGCTGCCTCTCATCAGTACTTCTCTATGAAATCCAAGAAAAGTTAGAATGGGAAAGGAACAACTATGAACGTTAGTCCGGTCTAAGAAATGTACGAGTTAGAAGTTGAAGCGAAAATAGTTTACCAAATCCTAAGTTAGGTAATTTCTGTTAGTTTCAATCACTGTGATCTATCACGACATTCAGTTTTCTTATCTCAAGATCAGTGGTACAGGGTGCCGCAAAAGTTTTGAGCCTAGTATTTTTTCAGATTAAATGAGAAGGGAAATAGCTAGAAACGCCAAATTTGTGCACACATAATTCGAGCCTTTACAAATATAGCCCAACTTCTAAATTTTAAATTAGCCTCTTTTGGGGGCCATCACGCAACTCTTCAAAATCTTGGCAAGTCACCCAGTCGTGGCACACAGGTAGTCGTAATGAAATTCGCACGCCTTTACGATGACTGCTTCTTTTACGTTGGCAAATGTGCAGCATGATAGAGCAAGCTTTTTCTACAACATACACAGTTTTTTGCAGTGTTTAGAAATAAAATATTGGAATACTAAGTGAGGCTACTTCGCGTACTGGAAATTTGGCTGCAATTGTGCGAAAGAAAGCTGAAAATTATAGTTTAAAAAAGTGTAAAAATTGTTCCATTGACCGAAATTCAATAGATTCTTATTAAGACGTTTGCAAAGACTATAGCCTTTGTCTCAGAGCCTCTACGCTTCCATACCTATCAAATTTGTTAAGGCAGATGGCTGGCACGCAGGAAGCATTCGTAAACTTCCATTCTATGTTTCCGCGAAAATAGCTCTTAGCAGACGCAATACTACAATGTGATAGCGCAAGCCTGCTCTACACTTCATGCATTAAAGGATTGTAAAATATCAACAGCATTTTTAGCTATGTCATAAAATGTGACACTGGAAATTCTGATTTCGCTTTGCAAAAGTACTAGTGTGGTAATTCCAATTCTTACATGAAACATATGACAGCCATTTTCAGCCAGTTAACCTATTATGTAGATAATGATTGCAGCATCATGCTGCATAAGATTCGAATCGAAAACATAACTAGTTTGGTAATTTGCAGTACTGCAAAGCCACAATGTAAATGCATATCAAAACCGCGATATAACTTTGTCTTTCTACTACTTTTCATAAAGCAAAATCGCCAATGAAGTGATTACAAACGGAGGTATTCGCAACAGAATACCGGTAACAACGTTACGGACGGTCATAATAAATTACGATAAGAATGATAGAACTGGTAATACACTAACAGCGATAATACCGATAGCAGTGGTGAGGTATGTGAGTGCAAAGACTTGGACTTCTTGATCTTATACAAAAATGTCTTACATTTCGTTACCCGTAACTACATCTTCTTTCACCCTCGATTCGGACTGCTACTCAAATAGTTCACATTTTGCAGATAATGTCTGAAGGGAACAGTCAAGCAGAGACGTCGTCGTTCCTTCCCACAGGCGCATTCGGTGTGCTGAGTGGCGATGGATTTGAAAAGGTACGGTATCTCAAATCATTTTCATTTTTCCTTTCATTGCTTCACCGCTTTGAAATAGTTGAGTACAATTTTCATGCGTAGAGGCTAAAAACTTTCCCATGTCTCTTCGACTCTCGTTGAGATTATATGGGTAAAAACTACCACTTGAGTACAAATCTAACTCTTTTTATCCATAATCAGTGCCTCCGCGTCAATAGAATTTTCTCACTACTCACAAAACTCATTTCTCTAATACAATGTATCTGTTATGTTTCTATATAGTCTTTACGTTTTCTTGCAACTTTCTCAAGCGTTTGCATGTCAGAGTTTATTTTGCTTCGGTAAGCCGATAATAGCACAATCAGTCGTTGATATCGTTTTTTACGCTCATCTATCAATCTTAAGTCCTCCGCTAATAAGCTTTGCTCACTTGTGTAGGGTCCTGACATGCCTTTGTCTATAAGCCGATGTTGTCATAAGAAATCTAGACTCTGTCGTACCAATTTACACGTTTCGAACTTCATTTTGCGGTTAAGAGCGCCATAAAAGTTTTCTATTGTTACGATAGCTATACGGTAGCGGAATAAAAGTTCCTAGGAAATTTGAATAGATGAGTTATTACGCAGTTTTTATGGTATGGTTGGCAAGGACGTTTTTGGGCATTCTTGAGCTGAAATCGCTATGCTCCGTATTGCAGTATAAGAGTGAACATGTAGTTTATTTTCGCGTGTAACATTAGATATTCAAGCAAGTCAAAGAAGCGGGTAAAAAGCGTAAAATTTGCCAACTTTCAATTATTTCGTTCTTTGCATCTCTATACAGTTGTGCATGTATGCATGTGGTTGTGTATGTCTTCTATATATTGACGCATACGCCAGCAGAATGAGACAAAGAAGAAGTTCTGCCAAAATGTGAGGAAAACATGCAAAAAGTTTGGCTCCAATTTTTTCGGACATTACGGACTGCTTCTTGTCATCTTGCAGGGCTTACCTTCCTCTACAACTAGTATCGTATACTCCATTCAAAGGCAGCGTCCGAGCGGAGTGGCTTATCCCAAATGTTGATACTGTCCAATAAGTCCCCTCAACCGCAGCAAATCATCAGGCTATTTAGGTAATCTAGTAGGGTGCAAGCAAGTATTACAGGTAGACGCGGGAGACGATCTTTTCGCACGGGTGACCTCCAAAGTCTCCCTGATTTCGACTTGTCTTAACATGTAATGCACGCCGCAAATCTTTCCTCCCCTTGTTTTGCTTAGGCAAAAGCCGCCGCGGGGTGTGTCGCGCGCGGCGGTGGTCCTGTGTGGAAAGCATTACGGTCGTGCGAATCGTCCTACACCCGGTAGATGCGGCTACTCAGACATTCGCAGTTAAGTCCCGCCGGTGAAAAAGTTGTGTCCCGCCGGAATGACTGCGGGACACAAGTAAAATGGTTCGCGAAAAAACCAGGACTCCCGGTTTTCGTTCGGGCTAATGCTGCGCGACACGCGCTTTTGTCCCGACATGTTTTCTACTGAGAAAACCGGAGGCTTCTGCGGAAGTCCTGATAATGTCGCGATTCAGTCACGGCGGGACTCCCGCTCTAGTCTGCAATCTCCTGCGGGAGACGCGATATAGCAGCGATTCGATCAGCTTCCGGCTGGGCTTTTTCTCAAACTGGTTCTCCTTCAAAAATTCTTATTACACACATCTTACAAAGGTGCTGTGCTCGATAGAGAGTTCAGAAACGCTCTTCCTTGCATTCGTGACCGAAAAAGAACATTGAAATCACTATAACTAAGTTAACAGAAAAAAACAGGAAATCGAGATCAAGATTTGAGATTGAATCCATAATTCAAATCGACTTCACACTTTCGATGTCTTCGTCTTGCTCATGCTCCGGCTCATTCGCGTGCTCGTGCGCCAAAGAATCTTGCGTTGTAGTGGGGCAAAAACGTTTTTTCTGGAAAAGAGTAACAATCTAACACTGATTTGAGAAATCATATATGAATATTACCGAGGGTGGCGACAGCATCTCCTTATCAGCATCAAAATGGTATCTCGCACATCTCCTCTAAACTTCAAATTCAATAGATTCATGAAGACTTTCTTTGAAAGAAACGCACAAAGCTCTTCCTATAGCCACTCGTGCTAATCCATTTAACTTCATCCTCGCCTCGGACAACTTGTCAAACATCTTCGTCCTAGTCTCGTCGTCGTTCCCTAGGCCCAGCCAAAATCTCAATCAATGACATATCAAGGGGTACAAACACTTTTATCTATACCTATTTTTTTCCGCGCGCATTCAGTAGCACTCAGTTGAAGTTCTTCCGCGTAGAGGCCAACAGCATCGAGAACGAAATCTGGAAGATGTATTTTAGATTTTTTAGAAAGACCATCAATCACCCACTTATCAAAAGTGTAACCAGACTTTCGGGCAGGTCGTGCAGATGGGGAATCTTCCCTTTTTACCGGATTGTCTGCATGCAAACTTCCGAATTTCTTGTTTTGGCTCACAGGCCTAAGTGTGCAGCTCTCGATCAGGATAGACTCGAAATTTTAGTTTCACTTACATTCAAAAAATAGAAGCTGCATTGCAAATGCAATGCATTCGAACCAGATTTGGATGCGAACACAACCACCTCCGAAGACGGCATGCAAGAGCGTAAATGGAAAAACTGCTGCGGAAGCGGTGCTGCTGCGGTGCAACATGTCACAACATGTTGGCGTGGTTGAGATGTTCTGTCAGCATGTTGTGGCATGTTGCAAACATGTTTTTGCCGCGTTGCCAACATGTTAATATCTGCTCCATGACGAAGGCGGTCGCCCATAGATTGAAAGCGTACAAGGCTAACGCGCACGCGGCGCGCAGGCAATCGTCAACCACGGGTCGCGCGTACGCTCCCGTGAGCGACCGCTGACCGAGCGTGCGCGCGCCCTGTGGTTGGCAATTGCCCGCGCGCTGCAGCCTCGCATGCTTTGAACCTATTTGGGCGACCGCCTTCGTCTTGGAGCAGATATTACCACACGTGGCTGGTATGAGAGCACACCAAGGGGGTAGCAGCATTTGTGGAGGGCACGATATACCTGGATCTGGATCAAACAAGTCAGTCAAAGAGTAAAAAGATGTGAAATCGAGAAAATCCGTTTTAAATGCGAGGAAATCAGCCTGTGTGGAAGTAGGAATGAATCGATACTGACGCGCAGTAGCGTCAAAACCGATATGGATCAACACTTTGATCTACGCGTCATGGCCGCGACTCATGATTACGGCACGATTCAGTTCATCAAGAGCAAACCAGTTATTCTAACTTAGATTCTTTCGAAATATAGAGTTTAACAAAAAAGAATTCCTGCACAATTTTGCGCCATCGCATTTTTGGAATGTAAATGATTTTCACAGCGGTTGACCCGCGTACCCCGAGATCGCGACTCCCGGTAATTTCCCGCTTCATTTTTTGTGTCGGGATTATCCCGAAAGTCGGGACAAACCGGGTGTCGCCACTCCCAGTTTTCTCGCGAATTTTCGTTTTGTGGGCGGATCTCCGGCGGGACTCAACTGCGAATGTCTGAGTACTTGTAATCGACATGTGCGGCGCGCACAACCTGTAAGCTCGTCCGCAAATTTGAGGGAGGCAGAGAGGAGTCAGGGGAGCCGCTTTAAGGCTGTATTTGAAGACTTAAAAGCCGTACATTCTAATGCAAGATGACTGCTTTAGTTGGGAATAAACATACCAAACTGTATTAAAATTGAATTTTGACATAAGAAGACTTTGTCCGGACGCTGTTCTTGAAAGCAGAGTCCTAGCAGAATTTGCGTTTCCACCTTTCTACATGTTTTAAGCCTTTTCGACAACGTAGAACCCGAATTTGAGCTCCGAACTGATTGAAAAGACCGTTTTGGGGGCGTTTATTGAATTTCCAAAAGCAGCTCTGACTAGGGAGTGGAAAACTGGGAGGACTGCCATGAAAACCCGCCGCCTATAGTTTTCGTTGTGGATGCTTTCGGAATTTTCACTACTAGTCGAAATGATTATCATAAATAGCGTTTGCTGACCTATTCTATCCATCCGCGCCGTGATTACCTCACTCTCTTATTTTTGAACTACAGCTGCTTTTGTATTTGACACATTGGAACATGTCAGTTATGTTCTGGCGAAGCAAGCATGTTGAGCATGTTTGCGAGGAACGATGTAGGTAGGAACTTGAACATGTGCGACGATCTGGCTTTGGTCTAATATGGTGTCCTTCCTCGCGTCATTTTTGCGTGCATCTACCTCACATGACATCCAGCTTGGGGAGCATAGGTTCATGTCGAAAGAAATATATGACGGAACGGACTGCTCACGAGTTCAGAACATCCATACAAAACGGTGTCTTGACGTGTTTGCACGTCATATATCTGCATATACGATACTCTCAGTTTATGACGACAAGCTGTGAGAACTTGGTGTAAAACGACGAAAAAGTTGCTGAAAAGAATATGGATATAGTGAGAAATCTATTTGTGCTATAAATTTTGCAGAAAATTCAGTAGGATAGATGAGTAGTCAATTGTATTAACATTCTTTTCTTACATGCTTGAACGTATCTCCTCGAATATCAAGCTTCATTTTTTAGTACAAATATCGAAATACTAGATACATTCACAATATCATTGCGATACAGAATATACACACGTAAGCCAATTGTCGCAGGGGAGATAAAGTTGTAATTTTGATAATGTATTCATCCACGTTGAACTCATTGTAGCAAGCCGAAGTGAGTAATTCGTCAACTCTTCGCTATCATCTATTTTCGTCATTTACCTGTGTGGCTCGATCAAAATGGACTGATCTGTATGTCATATTTAGATTTCGCATGTCCATCTCAGAATCCGCTCACTCCGTAAGCAATTTAGCCGTCAAATCACCTCTTCACCTTCTTGACAGCGTGCTTGGCGGCATCTACTTCCACGTAGGCTATGCTCGAATTGTATAAGAATTTGTTCACTGAAAGTGAGCAGCTAATATTCATGAACAAAATGGTAACGTATGCGGACTTGTGGTTCGCTTTTGGGCTTAATAATCGATTGCAACATAATAGCAAGGTGTGGTGATATGACCAAATTCCAGAAGAATTAATAATGTTATGGACTAACCAATATAATTTATTGAAGCAGCATTTACTGAAGCAGATTAAGTTGCATGATTTACGAAGCTCAATCTTGTCATGTAGGTTACATAAATAGTTCATGCATGAATGTAGTACTAGCTCAAGGCAATGGCATATAGTGCTCTTGTTTTTTTTTTTGATGAAGGATATGCAATTGACTGTTGTTGCCCTACCCTACTTTTTTTTGCAAGCATCCTTTACAACTTCAAGTATGACAAGCACATCATCTCCTATTATTGCTTACAAACGTTATCGTTGAACGATACTATTCAAAAACGAAAGATACGCTTTCAATGATATTCCCTCTTTTTAGTTGGCTTCCGAGCTATGTCAACGAGCTCTGACTAACGCATTGGAAGCACTCTGAACCTTTTTAATCTCTAAATTTGTTAGTAAGTTCTGCCCGGTTGAAGTGATCACGTCACGTAATGTGGTTACGGCGAAGGAGAGTGCTTTTTGATGGATTTATTTACCCCGACTTTATTCAACAACTATTCTAATACCTATGTTGAAATGATATCTGTGATTTCAGAAAATTTTATCTCTACGATTCAAACTCAGCTAATTTGCATTTCGAAGGATGACTTAGGTGTAGAAATAGATTCCGCGATTACCAATAAGGACTCACTCCCAGAAGGGTGACGCGAACCCTTGATGTTTATAATTTTTTGTGAGGAAAGCTCTGAGTTTTATTTGTTTAAATCGACTGAGGCAGAAGGCGAGGCAAAAGAACGTTGAAGTCGAGAAATTTATATGTAGGAAAACTTTAAAGGCTGAAAGGTTTCGGATATAAAAGCAGATAACTGTCTTTTTGTAATATCGAATCTAGCCTCGTCCTGCAAGAAAATCTTAAAGTAATGAAAAAGCCTATTCTAATTAGAATTCTTAGAACTGTGAAAGCATAACAATAAGGCAAAAACAAGCGTAAAAGAGACTATCACAACTTCTGGTAGAAAACTTTGCGTTGTGAAAGTGATTGAGCAGCTATGAAAACAGATTTGCATCAATTCCAAATCAACATCTGCTTTCTCTGCTTTCTTCTTCTTGTTGTTGTTGTTCTAAACTTTGTCAGGTCTAAAAAGAGGCCTTGACAATTTCCTTTGGTACATTTGTTGACTTGGTCCTTCGCCCTGGTTGCCCTGCTTCTGGCTGCGTTAACATATTGATCTTCAAAATCAGTTGATAATGCAAAGAACGATGAGGTTGGGAGTGTTCGCCCATCTAATCGTGTCTGTGCCTGAGGCGACTTATTCGAAAAGTCATATGCTCGACCGTTATCAGATCGCAAAGTCCACTATTTACGCCTACGCCTGACATGAGCACTAAAAAGAATTAGACGCGAACCAAAAAAACTAAACACGGGACGAGGAGCCTGACACAATACTGTCAACACGCGCATCTATTGTATTTTCAGATGAGCAAGCCGCACTCTGATTGCTCTAAAAGCAATCGCAACAAAGAATGCCGTGCCATGAGGCGCGTGGACGAGGAAGTAGCAAAGATGACCGCTCTGCAGGCGCATGTGCAGCAAAGCGCCCAGGTCTGCTCGCGTTCAGGGCAAATTGGGTGCAGCTTGTACATCTGAAAATAAGTTACATTCTACTTCGTACATAAATCGAAATTACCATACAGTGCCGCGTCGCCATAAGGTATAGCCCGGTATTGCTACCTCTTTTGGTTCTTTCCAACGATACAGTTACTCTAATTTTACGCGTATAAGGCTCACCTTTTTCGGTTTTTCAAGCGTGCCGCTCAGCCTTGCCGCTTCGTTGTGTTTCCGAAAACGAGACTTACGCTGGACGATTTTCTCAGGCAATATGGAGCACTGTAAATAGTTTTTTGGTCGCGAAGTCCTTCTTCGTGTCTGTGGTGTTTAATTTTAGGAAAAAATCCCCCGCGTCTTATACGCGTGAAATCAGGGTATGCTGCCTCTCCAGGAAAACTTTGGCACGACTTCGCACTCAAAATCGACAATTCACTCTGCCAATACAAAAAAGATCTTTCAAGCGGAAGCTTAACTGTATTACGACGAAAAAAAATCGATCAAAAACCAAAGAGAAGAGAAAGAACAGTAAGTCGTCGCCGCTATCTAGGCAACCGGCTAACTACGTTCCAAGCAAGGAGGGGTCCGGCGGCAATTGTGAACTTAGGTACCGTGATCGTCTGCGGGTTTCGGCCTCCATACTTCGATGAACGCTTTCATGCTAAACCGCGACATTTGGGGTGTACAACTTGAGAAATGTTATGGTGTCAAACGAGCTTCGGGGCGGTAAAGTTTTGAAAATAGTAGGTAGGATAGAGGACTTCAGATTGCCGATAGGAAAGTCTACTGCAAACATGTGCCACAAAATATGCATCTCTGCAAACTACAACTTGCGCTAGTCGTCCGAGCGGGTAGACCACATTAGCGACGATGTACTTTCCATAAAGTGGTCTACTGACTATGAAGTAAATACAGAAAATCTTGAAGATGAAGATTTTGAAGAAATTCTCGCACGAACTACCGTGCAGAAAGGAGGTAGTACTAAATGTGAAGAGCTCTTTACTGCGCCTATGCGTTGCTGTGTCCCAAATAAGTTGTTATCGTTACTTCATTCAAAGTTTACCATTTCGTTTTTCAACTTCATAAGGGTACTGCGCAAGGAAACAGATGTCGCAGTAGGAGTGCAATGTGGAAATGTCATCCGTACCAATCCTTTTGGTCATTTTCAAACATACAGCAAGCCGAGAAAATTCTGAAGATTGTGGCAACATGTCCAGCGTCATGTAAGTAAGAAACTACTGGTAGCTTTGATGTTTGGTAGTACCTTCACGTGATCAATATAAACTGATATCTACTGATAAGGGCTGATTTAAGAACAACTAGTGTATTCTAGTCCTAGCAGTTGTCACACGATTATTTTTTGATTTTGTAAAAACAGAAACAAAGTGTCTTAGTATCGGAAAATGAAAGAGCTGATGAAAATTTGTATCAGTTTATGTAACCACGCTTTTACTAACAAAAGCAACCTCTTTACTTACTAAGCCAGTTGGATGTTCATTAACCGATTTTCTGTTTTAGATGTTCGACTCTCGGTATAAAACTCAAAAGGAGCGGAAGGCAGCAAAACCTACTTTACAAAGCAAGGTATAGTCTAGAATCATAATTTAGATAATTCATAATGGCTTCTTACAGGTGTACAATTGCCTAGAAAGGCCAGCGGGTTGGCGGTGTTTTATGTATCATTTCAGGTATGCTGGTTAACGGTTTCGTATGTTATCGCTGCTTTATTCCAATTACAGTGTCTTCATAGTAGTTCTAGTGTGTTTGATACTCAGCGTTATGTCTACCGTCGAAAGACATAGTCGATTTGCTAGCGAGTTGCTTTTTATACTGGTATGCTTAATCTATTGTACAAAACATTCTCATCATTTATCAATATTATATTTCAGGAGATTTTCCTCGTTATATTCTTCGCCATAGAGTATTGCGTGCGTCTATGGGCAGCTGGATGTAGGTCAAAATACCTCGGTTTCTGGGGTCGCTTGAGATTTGCAAAGAAACCAATCTCCTTCATTGGTAAGCACTTAGTATACTGAAGCACCTCAAAGAGATACCTGCAATTGCAAAAAAAAAACATGAAATTATCGGGAAGTATCAGAACATCATAATTTTGATTTGCAGATTCTTTAGTGTCTTCCGGTCTTCCACGCTTTCTAGGCACTACTTATGAAGGAGTACACCCGATATAGAAAAATACGTTACGTACAAACGTCATAAATTTCCGCACAATTGTTATGCATAGCACGTAATACTTGTTCCATGATACAAGTGCTCGTTACCGCCAGTATTTATTAAGATAGGATAGCCCGCATTCAGTCCCTAACAAGAGAAATATCTGTGTGTGGTCTCCACCTTTGCGAAAGCTATAGACTTCACCGTCTACTTTTCTAGGAAGATTTGCTTTCGCAGAAATTTTATAAATCTCCAAACGTTCTGTCGCGGTATGGGATTCAGCATCCCTCCGTGCTCTCCGCTTTTCTAAAAAATTCCCACCTCTGCAGGACGGTCGAACAAGCTGGATTTTTACCTGCGCGACCGAGTCGCATACTACCCCTATCCGCGCCAAATCACCGAGCACGACTGCAAGAACAGAAATTAGTGAAATATATAAGTTTATTCTAACTACATAAAGGAAAACGCTCAACTGAGATAGCAAAGAACAGCAAACTAAGGCACGGGGAGACATCAGTGAGCGGAGCAACCCAAAGACCTATACCAAGAGGCGTTCAGTGAATGTTTCCCCTAAACCACTTACCAAGATTAGTTTCTGTCAAATGATTGGTGTACCACTTACCTTTTGCAGTGTACACAAAGATAGGCATAGGAATACAGGGAATCCGTAGAACATTAGATATATCCAACATCAGTAGATATACAGAAAAGCTCAAGCAAAGCTCAAGCAATTGTAGCAGACACGTACTGAATGTTGTCCTCCCTGAAACTCACATGGCTAGTTCCAGTCAAATTTTTGATAAGAAAGCACCTGTCTTGTGGAGTCTATACTAGAAGTGAGGCGCAAGGTCAATAGTCTTGCAATAGAACACGAACTAGATAGATCTCAGCTCCCGTAGAAATGTGTGTATATGTAGTACACCCGTAATCCATGAATGCATAGTACCACTGAGATGCATGGAGAGCTAGTCGAAAGGTCATATGCTCCATCATGGGTAAGGATGATAAACAGCGAGTGTAAGCAATGGTACGCTGGTTGCACAGCGCAGAATCTCATTACCATGCATATCGCATTCGTCTCCTGAAAAAGATGGTTACGAAACGCGTCCCTTTGTTCTTTTTTGTTCAGTCAAGAAGTGACGAAATTCAAACCTTATACCCCTTAACCAGTACGCAGCTCGGCGTGTTACCTCTTTATCGCCATACAAGACAGGCTACAAATTTGAGAAAGGCGCTACAGATGTCATTGGGATTTTCCCTTGATTCTGAAAAAAGAGCGGTATTAGCAAAGATAGAATAACATCGCGGCGGAATTCTAGGTATTTTTGAGTGACAAGCATACAAATCTTCCTTCTAACGCTGAATTACGTAAACAAGATATGAACGAAGTGGAAAATGGCGCTCAATTACAAAAGAGGAGAAGTAGAGCGTTTGCTCACGCAGCTCAATCATACAATTTTCAAATCCCGCTCACTCCCCGCGAATTGGCAATGTTACCGGCTGGCGGCCGTTCGAGCGGCCACCAGCCGGTATGACTTTTTGGAGCGGTCACCAGCCGGCATCTAGCTCCGCCCAGATTTTCGGAGCGGAAAACGGTTTTCGAACTCTCCCGTTTTCATTTGAATAGGGAAGCCGTGAGGGTGCAAGAAAAAGGAAATGGCTATACTAACATGTATACCTTTGAAGGCTGTCATGAAATCTTGAAAATAGTCATTTGGGTAAAGACGAAGATTTTGCAACACCTCTTTGCTGTTCACTCTTGACAGTCAAAATGCTGGGACACGTATTCAGGTCAGTAGAGCGGACTCAATTCATACTTGAAAAGCATTAATTACGCGTCATTAATGAATCGAGTGTGCTTGTTGCCAGATTGCCTTTTTCCTTTTTGCTATTCGCAGCGGATAAGGTATGTTCTAGATCAGCATATATCTTGAGAAACGACAAGCACATGTCATCACCTAAAATATTACGATATTGCTTTTGCATAGCAAACTATAGGTCACTAACCGCAAAACTTCGTCTAGAAAAAGATGCACTTTGTTGCGTAGTAATCGCCACTCTAAGCATGATCAGCCGTTTTTGGTATGGTGTTTAGAAACGTACCATAACGTATCTTCTTAGGATCTTGGGTTTTGAATGTTGCAGTTGCGGAAAGAGCGGAAAGTTGCGAGAGCGGAAGTTTAAGCGTAAAAAATCCAGCACCTTTGTTTATCGTTTACGTTCAAGATTGGATCAGTGTAGTTTGCCTCCATTGAGATAAATAGTCTTGATGACACGTAGTAAGATCCGTACGCAAACTCCATTAAAAATTATTACAACCCATAAGAGATTTTTTCAAAGGGGTCTTTTCCTTCATATTACGCCATAGGCTGCAGCAATCTGCGGCGCACTCCGCTGGAGGCGGCCCTGCCGCAGCATGCGCTGCAATCGCAGAAAAATTGTGCAAAACATGGAAATCTAGTAATCTCATAAGTAGTAATAGACATAACAGCACAATGAAATTATTGACTGAGAACTGATTAGCGCGGAACAAGTCTGGTGAAATGAAAAACGCACATAAATCGAAGTTGAATGAAGAACCATTGAATCTATGTTGAGAGGGCAAAAGAGAAAGAAGATTGCGAATTCTAAACTCTCGAACGTGCACAACAGGTATTGAAGAACATCTCGAAGCTGCGATGACATGGGCATATTTTCGATGCGACTGCGGGCTGCGGCGTAGTATGAAGGTACCTAAACACATCATGTCAACGGCTCAAACTTCATGCACCCTCTTCCTCCCGCTCTCGCGAGCAGCTGACTACATTCAAATTATAAAGATCAAATTTGACACAAGATCATAATAGGTTCACAGCCTAAGGCGTGACGATGTAATCTTGACAAATTCAGGGGCATCCTCAGCAGAAAAGCATTGTTGTGGATCCCTAGCTTCAGCGTATACTTCGCGAAAAATTTCTTCAATAAATAAAAGTTGGTTGGACGAGCATCTCTTCTCGCTCCTCGCTGTCTTCTTCAGCAGCTAAATAATTCAATCTCGAGAAGCTAAAATTGCAAGAAAGCAGCAATTTGCTGTTGCTCCGCTTTTCTTCTTCGAACTAAGAAACGAACTAGTTTATCATTTCCAAAAGGACAGCCTTTATTCCGCATTCTATTAAATACTTTCTTTTCCTCTTACAAGCATCCGTGCCGCTGTCCTGCCACCAAGAACATCTTGAGCAGCGAGATAGAGCAAATCCTTCCACAATTCATCCATATCACATCCGTTAAGCGAATGCGTTTTTGAGAAGTGGGATATATATCAACCTTGCCATAATGGCCATGACTCCTGTTGACCAAGTTGTCAAGAGCGACGGTGACAATACCAGCTATACCACGAAAAGATAATGATATACTGTTTAGCTTTTATCTGGAAACATCTACTATCATCCGCTACGCTATTCTGTCATATTCATATGCAAAAAAGAGGGTGTAGGCATCGATTAGCCAAAGGCCGCGATTCCAAAGCACCAGTGAAGCCTCACAAGCTCGCGAAGACGCTCAAATGTTTCTAAAACACTGTGTAGACAGTGGAAATGCGTTATTTAGTCGCAAACATTCTTTACATCTAAAAATTAGCATTTCTCCCTGCTGTGAGACATAGGTGTCGCAGAGGGTGAACGAACTCAATACCATTTTAGTTTATCCCTACTTTCAGCATTTTAATAAGAGTCCTATACTATAGATTACAACATATGATACATTCATTAGAACATGAATTCAAGTTATGCCAAACACTCACGAATCGCTAAAGGTAATCTATAGTATAAATATAGTAATAAAATAATTTCAAATAATCTTATATATAGAGCTGAATGTCTGTTTGTATGTCTGTCTGTATGTATGTCTGTATGTATGTATGTACGTATGTTCCGAATAGAAAATTCCATTTCTGAACCGATCCGGACCAAACTTGGCACACATACACTACGGGCCCCGGCGGGTGTCATAGGCTACTTTTCGTCATCGATCGATATCGATTTTATCGATTTTTATCGATTTTTTTGCTGAGTTCACCTACGGGGCTGGGAGTTGGCACAGGGGGGTAATCGAGCATGAGGATTCCGAATACAATATTGGTTTTCAGGATTATCGATTACTTTTATCGATTTTATCGATTTTTTTGCAAAGTTTGAGCTACGGGGCTGGGAGTTCGCACAGGGGGGTAATCGAGCATGGGGATTCCGAATACAATATTGGTTTTCGGGATTATCGATTACTTTTATCGATTTTATCGATTTTTTTGCAAAGTTTGAGCTAGGGGGCTGGGAGTTGGCACAGGGGGGTAATCGAGCATGCTGATCATCCCCAAGGGGGTGATCAGCATGCTCGATTACCCCCTGTGCCAAATTCCAGCCCCCTAGCTCAAATTTTTAAAAAATCGATAAAATCGATAAAAGTAATGGACGATCTTGAAAACTAATATTGTATTCGTAATCTGCATGCTCGATTACCCCCCTGTGCAAACTCCCAGCCCCGCAGGTCAAATTTTACAAAAAAAATCGATAAAATCGATAAAAGTAATGGACGATCCTGAAAACTAATATTGTGTTCGTAATCAGCATGCTCGATTACCCCCCTGTGCAAAATTCCAGCCTCGCATGTCAAAATTTACAAAAAATCGATAAAATCAATAAAATTAATCGATAATTCTGAAAACTAATATTGTATTCGGAATCCCCATGCTCACTTCCCCCTGTGCCAACTCCTAGCCCTGTAGGTGAATTCTGCAAAAAAATCGATAAAAATCGGTAAAATCGACATCGATCGATAACGAAAAGTGGACTATGACACCCGCCGGGGCCCGAAGTGTATGTGTGCCAAGTTTGGTCCGGATACGGCGGAGCCGGGTAAGCCAGCTAGTCCCAAATAATTTCATCTGTTATTTTCTAATTAGTTTTGACGGTTGAGATAAGTCGCTGTCAGTGGCGTACCGAGGGGGGGAGGCGGGGGGGGGGGGCGCCCCCCCCCCCGAGAATGGATCGCGAAATTTTTGAAAGTTACTTATATGGGTTATAAAAATGTGTAAGTGACTTGTTTATTTTTATAAATAATTAAAATAATTTTTAAAAATTTTTAAAAATTCAAACTAGCTTTGTAAAAAAAATTTTTTCGGGGGCGTGGCTGACGCCACGCCCCCTTTTTCCAGATTTTAGGGGTCGGGGACGCGAAAAAATTTTGGGAAGCACCCTCAAAATTTTTTCGGAGTGGGTACGCCACTGGTCGCTGTATATCTGTAAACTTCTCTTAGTTGAAATTTTCTACCGCTTGTTTCTATTTCAGCCTCGATAAAGAAGGCAGTACAAGTGGGGAGACGGGTCGTACTGATGGGTATCTTGGGGGAAGGGAGGCGGGGGCATATGAGGCAGCCTTAGACCGCATCACCACGCTTGAGACTTGCCTTAAAGGCAGCGTCCCACCAGGTTTGGGGGACCTGCTCTGGTAATAATGTAGTAGTAGACCCCCAAACTAAGCGACGCAGAAGTTTGCAGCGCGAAAGGGAGTCTACGAAGTCTAAAAATCGCCCCTCAAGTGGCCCGAATCATTAGATAGGCTCGGGCGAGTGCGAAATGCACGCAAGGCAGAGACGCAGAGTCGTTGCGGGACCAGGCGCTCATGACTGTGTGCGCTATAAAAAAAACTTGCGCTGTGAACTAAAACCCCGCATTCTGGCCTTGCAAATCGATATTGCTGTGTGGGGGCGTCCGGGCCTACCGTAAGATTCGGATCACTTTTGGAGCAAATTTCAGGCTTGGTGACCCCCTCTTTCGCTCCGAACTTCAGTCATCGCTTGGGTAGGGGGTCTACTTTAACACCGTCACAAAAACCCGGCACCCATCTTTTTGCCAGGACGCTGCCTTCAAGGGTTGTAACGAAGAGGTAAATGCGAATAATTCGAATTCTCGAAGACGAAAGAGGTGTTAAATATGGACATGAGACAATATTTTACAGATCATTTTATCGATTTACACCGATATTTATCCTCTATTTATCCTCCATCCTGCCATGTTTCAGATCTCTGTGTGGTGGTGGCCAGCATTACCGTGATTCTCATTGGACATGAAGGTCAAGTGTTTGCGGCAAGTGCAATACGGTATGCCATATCGAGATTTATTCTCCTCATACAACATAAGACAACTGACTTGCAGTGGTGTGCGATTTCTACAAATTCTGAGAATGTTACATGTAGACAGACAAGGAGGAACTTGGTGAGTTTTAGATTACTTTAGTCTATGAGAAAATTATGAGGTGGTATGTTGAAAACTTATTTGAAGAACTATTTCCCATAAGCCTGAGGCTGCAATTACTTACATGTTAACTAGAAGGCAAAATTTAATTGATTGAAATCCCTTTCAGGCGGTTGCTCGGCTCCGTCGTTTTCATACATCGCCAAGAGCTAATCACAACTTTGTACATAGGATTTCTTGGTTTAATATTTTCGTCATACTTCGTCTACTTGGCTGAGAAGGACCACATATCGCCTGATGGAAAACAAGCCTTCACCAGTTATGCCGATGCCCTGTGGTGGGGAGTGGTTCGTAACATTTTCTTCAACATTTCTTGTTCATTCTTTTCTTCAAACGTAGTGCATGTTTCCGGGTTTTTTTTGAATGTGTTCCAAACATAGATTAAACCGAAAAGAATTCGAGAGAGTGAAAATGCTTGAAGCAGAGACATTGAAACGTTGTCATGAAAGTGATGCCGTTTGTTGAACACGCTCCTCAGTGACAGCATTGAAGATACATAATGGGCACTATAACTAGGAGTCACATCATACAACTAATTACATGAGTATAATTTTAAAGGACAATGCCATCAGGAATTGAACGTTCCTTACAAAAATTACCAAAGTTTACTTGCTCGTGGACGTACAGGGTGGTCCACATTTAGAAGCTTTCCAAAATTCATCTTTCAACCTGTAACCTTCTTTGCTTCGCAGTGACATAAATCGTCTTCTCCATAGTTGTCCTTCCTATTATGGTTTTCTTCCAGAGGAGAACGGTAGTTAAAAAGCTTTCTGGAAAAATGCAAACTTAAAGTGCTTTTGTCAGAATCTGAAAATCAAGATCCAAAAGACGCAAGACTTCTTTATGATTCAAGTGCTGTTTGAAAGCGCATGATTTGCCCTTTCTAAAATTTATCAAATAAGAGAAATTCGTCGAAGGCAACATACGAAATTGAAAGCGCGCATCCTAAAAAAATTCAAAAAAGTCATTAATGAGTCTATCTAGGTTAGAAGCGGACATTTTCAAACATGGTCAATGAGACCTAAGCAAAATTTTCATAGCTATCAGATAAGGTTGCTTGCAATCTGCATCGCTCCATACCGAGTTATGGGCATCTTTTGCATAACGTTTCCTGTGTACCACCCACGTATGAACATTTGTATAGCAATCTTGATTTTCCACGCCATACGCAACTACGTACTCAAATTTTTAGGTAACGTAGCCATACATCTATATCCTTGTGCACGCGCTTCCGAAAAAATCACGTTGATTAAAAACAAAAAGGCAATCTTAGTTACATAGTCTAAAACCAACTTGAAAATCCTGCTGAAGCTGCTCTTGTTTTTGTGCGAAATGTTGAAGGATGCAAACATCCTAGTGTCACAGCAAGGAACAAAAGAGAAACTATTCTTTCTTGTATCATTCACTGTATAGAATTTATCAGCTATCTAGATTTAATAATAGAAAGTCTCTGCTGTTCTGAAGTTTTTTCTTGTAAAAGAAGCGCTTCAAAAATTCACGTTCAGATAACAATGACAACCATTGGCTACGGTGACGTTGTTCCACAGACATGGCTTGGACGAATTGTCGCATCGTGCTTCTCGATCTTCGCCATCAGCTTCTTTGCTTTGCCTGCTGTCAGTCAACGAAGTCTATGCATCCGTGATCATGCTGAAAATTACTCATTTAGGGCATTCTTGGATCTGGTTTCGCTCTGAAGGTCCAGCAGAAGCAGCGGCAAAAGCACTTCAACCGGCAAATTCCTGCTGCCGCCACTTTGATTCAGTGTTTGTGGAGATGCCACGCAGCCGAGAAAGATATCGCAGCTACATGGTAGTGTGACGAATTTTCACAAGTGAAGAAATGAATCCAGAAAAACTTTGTAAAACAAAAAAAGGGGCAATAAATTTGAAGTCAAAAATTACAAGAGATGACGGTAGGTACAGGACACGCCGTATTTACGGGCGTGCAGTGGCAATCCAAGAAAATCTCTCAAGGCGGAGGGAGAGGCCAACAGAAATTTTCATAATGATGAGTGGCGTTAGCTACGCACTCTGAAAATCTTTTTGGGATGCTTCCCAAGATTTTTGTGACCCTGTGAAAATTTTGAAGAAATTCTCTAACCCTCCCCCCCCCCCCGCTGCGGCATGACAGAACCTCGGAAGAAGGGACGTAACAATACCCATGCCCGAAAAAAATCGTTAAGTAAATCCACTGATTTAGATTTCCAAAAAATTTTGAGAATCTTTTTGTAATTTCCATGCAAAAACATCACTTGCACAATTTTATAAGCGTGCACTGTTTCCATCTGTTTCCACCAGGTTTTACCATCGTAGATAGTTGGACCTAAACTTGTACACTTTATCTTTTAAAAAACTATTTGTCTCGCCAAATAACTTATACGTCGTCATGAGTTCAGCTTCAAATTTATAAAGCATTTTTTGGAACCGTCTCTCTATTCAAAATTGTGCAGTTCCCGGATTTCTTACTGGAGACTTTCAGTTTCTCAAATATGCGTTAAAAACAATTACATGATTATATGGTTTGAATGATTACGTACTTCTCTTAGATATGTCTCAGGTTCCTTCTCTGCACTTTTTGCTCATTCAGTGATCAAAATGAGCATTATTAAGTCGTCATTGGATTTAAATATTCAGGAAAGTGCATGTGGACCCGCTGGCGCGAGAATCGAGTGAAACAAGGAAACAGAACGGTGGAGTGACTGACGAGGTGACCAGCTATAAAAGAAAACTCTTTCGTAAGCAGCAGTCGAAGTGAGTCACTCTTTTGTGAACAATACATTTCTTTGCTTCATCCATACCATGTGCAGAACAAGTGTTCTTACGAATGCTTGTGTTCCAAAAAGAAGTCGTGGTAGTGCCGTGAGCGTTGATCTGGAAATGGGAGAGAGGAAAAAAGAAAAGGAGAGAAATAGCGATGCTGAGGAGGACAGAGTTTTCAAAGGTAAATGGGTTTTTTTATCGATGCCGTTCAAATCCGCTAATATCTGTTCGTTTGAGAAGTCACCGACTCAAGGGCAGACTTCGAACCGGATGAAGACAGCACTCCAAAAAGATTATCACAGTGAGTTTTCTTCACGTTGAATGCTGCTTATAATTTCCTTTTTTTGCAGTATTTGTGAGCTGACGAAACAGTACAAGGATGCTATAAGAGCAATTCGAAAAATCAAGTACTTCGTCGCCCGAAGACGTTTTCAGGTAACTGCGTAAATGATTAAACATTCACGACAATACGACCTACCGGTGGGTCATACGTGTTCTGCCGTTTCGGACCATACAACCCACCGGTGGGTCGTAAGACCGGTGGGTCGTAAGATTCTTGAAGCTCTAGCTTTGCCAGTTTACGATAGTACGGGGTTCTGGCACATGATTGGGCCCACATTGGCGAAGTTCCAGCCAGAGTGGTCCAGGTCGGAATACTGTATTGTAATGTTACGGTAAGTAACATAAGTAGGGAGTAGGTATACCCCAGATGGAGACAAGGCACAGACTTTAGCTCCAATTTTTCGCAGAGTGGTCTTTTGAAAACTCAGATTCACACTCATAGAAATAAGTGGAGGGTGCAAGGCTGTTGTTATTTTTATTGATTTTTGTATTGTTTATCCCAGGAAGCTCAAACCTACGTATATAGGTTTTGTAACATGTGATTACGAAAATGATAGCCTTAAGTTCTAATACTTACATCTTTTTGGACGGAGAATTCTATCGTACTGCTACCGTAGTCTCACTGTGAGAAAGTATTGAATAACGTGGACACTATAATCGTGATCACCACATGAAATAACCCCAAAACACATTTTTCATGGACATCCATAATGCTGGGTTCGTACGGAATGAGTGCCGTAATTTTACTGTATAAAGCCAAAAACTGAAGTAAATCATATTTTGATAATCAGCGCCTTCGATAACCTTTGTTGGGAAATTCTCGGCGACATGTTTTGAATTTTTCCCAAAAAGAGTACCATCTCGAACAGTACGACCCACGGGTGGATCGTAAGTTTGACAAAGCGAAAAAGGCTCTGGTCCAAACAGCAGTGATCGAAAAATCGGCCATGTCGTGAATGTGTTAACCGATGATGAACGACAATGAATTTTTGAATATTTTCAAATTAGATATACGAAAGTCTTCGAGATTTTATTATAAACACGTGTGCAGTACCGTCGCTATCTCCGCCGTTTGATTAGAAATTCGATAAGTGATACATCAATATACAGGGTGTTTGAAAAGTTCGTGGCCTAAAGTACTTCTAATTCGAATTTTGATGCGTTTTTTGTTTTATTGTGCTCATCGGACCTAAATACCATCACTTCTGTAAAAATTAGATTTTTTTGTGCTTTCTTTGATTTTTTATTAGATTGAAACACATCAGAATAGCTTTCCAAACCCCTTCCCTCAAAACGCTTGTTACAAAAAAGGAAACATAATTTTCAGAAAACTTAGTATACCTTCTTAAAGCCCTTTCTTCAAGGTTTCTTAAGTGTGCTCTCACTTTCGTAGAAGTAAGTTTGTTTGAAAAATATCGTACCGCGAAAGCCAAAAGATCCACTTTCAGGATCTTTTTGTCAAAAAGTCCAGCACCGAAATTTTTATATCTTATCTTAAAAACCTTTGCAAGCGTGCAAATTTCTCGAAAACGAATACAACGAAGGCCAGAGAGTTTTGCTACAAATACATGTTGAAATAAGACTTCTAAATTTTTTCAAACTGAAAAAATTTCAGCGCAAACAGGGTGCCGCGCCTGTCTGCTGTGATTCAGCGCATAAAAAATCTTTGTTAGCATGCTAATGTAGAACTTTTGTTATATAAAGAAAGTGTAAATCTAGGACTATTTGTAGTAAAAAAACCAAAAGCTGTTTGCCTTTTCCGGCGTTGGAAAAAAGAACAAAACAGATGACGCACTCTCCAAGGAAGCTGAAAAAATTGTTTACTTCCAAATTTAGGGTATTTTGAGGCAAAAAATATTTTTCTTTGTTGATTCAGTGGTTTCAAGGTTTGGAGAACACATATAGCAAAAAACGCGTCAAAATTCGAATTGGAAGTACTTTAGGCCACGAACTTTTCAAACACCCTGTAAATTAGCACCTGAATAGAATTTTCAGCAAGCCAGGAAGCCCTATGATGTTCGCGATGTCCTCGAGCAGTATTCACAGGGCCATCTAAACATGATGGTCCGAATAAAGGAACTGCAGCGAAGGTCTTATTTCCTATCACTCTATCATATCTGGAGCATACCGAATGTTTTTTTACAGACTAGACCAAACACTTGGTAAACCTGGTCAGGATCGTGCGTCTCGAACGATGGGCGGCTCAACCACTATAGGAGCACGGTTATCACGAATCGAAATGCAGGTGAGAGATCAACCTTTTATCTGAGGTTCGTTATCTGCGGAGCATTTCGGGGCATAGAGTAATGAAGATTTGTTGGAGAATGCACAACAAGGATAATATTACTCCCTAACTTTAGGCTTAGGGCGCCTTAACAATTATTACTCCATTCAAAAAACAGAAGAAGTTTTAGGAATGATTCTAACCTAGCTGCGCAGTCGATTTTTGCTCCATACAACTTCTCATCTAACAATAAGAATGCTCTACAGAAGAGAGGGTAAATTCAAGGCAGCCATTTTTGCTCTCCCAGACATTATATTAGGTTGGCGGATAATTTTTGTTACACTATTATTCGTATTTCTTAAAATTTCAAGAACATTTTAAAAAATTAATATGTTCGAGGGGTGATAACGGGGTGCAAAGGTCTACCCAGCAATACTGGTAGATTCGTGGTCCATGCGCAAAACATCCGCTTTGTCGGTGCGAGTGCGTTTTATGGACATTTTTGTCAACGGGCTAGCATTCTTCCAGGAAATCAGGTACAGACGGGTGATGTGGTAATCGGGGCACCATGTCAGCGCACATTCGCATTTCATTATGAAGAACGGTTTTTAAAAATTTATTAAAAGTATTTCCAACCTCTCAGTATCAAATGCTACACAATGCGCACAAAAAGAAAAATTTTCGAGCAATTTATAAATTTCGATTCATTTCACCCCTCGTTTTTGGCGTGCTAGCGTCACCAAAGTGCTGCCATAAAAGAGACAATGCGAAAATATCTTTTGAAAAATTATGCGAAAGAAAAGACACAGTCAGATGGATAAGAATCAAAGTAAAAATGTCAATTCTGAGTACGCTTATAACGTTGTCGTAAGCTTGCTAGCTATTTGTGCATTTGCGGCATCAACCATACTGTTGTGTTCGCCTTGCCATGCCCCTACATATGGAGCAAATTTGAAGATTCTGGTAGGCTTCCAAAATTCAGTGCTACAAAAAAAAAGTGTAACAGAAATTATTCGCCAACCTAATACGTCAAATATTGAAAGGTGGCTTGATTCGCCATCTTTTCCTTGTTAGAACGACAAACACAGGAATGGTTGAACAACAAAAATGGAATTTACGCGAAAACATAATCAATCTTGAAAATTATTCCACTCTAACAGTTCTAATCTTCTTTCAGATGGTCAATCTCGAGCGGCAGATGAACATGACGTTGAACTTGCTGACTACGCTCTGTCGCAAGAATTCGAGTGGTCGCCGTCCGTCGAACACCTCACCCACACCGCCATTTGACAGACCACCCTCAGCGCGTGACGCCTGTTCACCCACACTTAGCGTCTACTAGGTATTCGGATATTCTGATGTTGTACACTTTTTTCACTGGTAGCTTGACCGTCGTCACTGTGTATTGAATACGGGTAAGATTTGCTGATACACAGAAAACATAGTCTCATACATGGATAGTGCCTGCTATCAGAAATGCATAACATTGAACACTGCTTGGCACATTTCGAGATGGATTTATATGATCTCATGTTTTTTTAATATGTCATATTTTTCTACGAATAAATATTCTTAAAGCGTTGTTAATGTTGGGGTGCCATCATGGATTGTTTGTCGCGAGCGACTTGATCTTCCTAACTGCATCATTGAATGTGCGAATTTCATATTATTGGCACAAGCTGAAATGCATTACAGCGTGACAGCAACCTTCGAGGATTACCAGAATGATGTCTATAATAGTAAGTAATCTTTCTCTACTGTAGGAAAAGAGCCAGGTCGCTGACAGAACGGTATGAGCTTGCAAAATAAAAGACATTTCTCTGCATGAGCCTGTCTTTCGGAGCTCTTCTAACAAAAGCAGTCCTAACTCTTTTTGAGAATATTCTTCCAATGGCTGTCCTGATCTTTTCTTGAGATTAGATAAAAGGTAAAGGATTCGTCTAACACCCTCTGTGGGTACGCCGAACGCACACTCCATAGTCGAGAAGGCAATTGTATGCGTGCAAGGCATTTACAGTAACTTGCGGGGACCACCCGATTACCAAAACAGTGTTTTTATTCTTCCAGCTTACTCTTTCACCTGCTGCGGAGGGTGGAGGCCCTGGTTGGCCCAGGTACGGGATCGAACCTGCGCCCAATCTAGTCATGGCGGCGCCTCATACCACTGCGCCACTCCTCCCCCTTCTCGAAATTATCAAAGAGGAACATGGATAACGTAGACCTGATTTACTAGACTGATGTTACTATGTCCATGTTTTCGGATTCATTTGTTCGAAGCTGTTAAAATCGTTGAAGTTGGGATATGTAGCTCTCTGTCACCCCCTTATGGATCGTACCTTCAAACAGATTGACACTTTTACAAACATCTCGATCATTCTCTGCGCAAGAAAATGTTCAAGATTATGTTCTCTCGCTCTGTGACAGTGAATGAAGCTCAGCCCCACATGTTTAATCTCGCAAAGGCTTCAGCTGCATGGACTACATCCAGACGATTTCGAGGGTCACAGTCTGCCGGCAGTATCGACTGTAACCTTCGTCGATTACGAATGCCTTCGACAGCTCGAAACCATTGCCTTCTTGTAGCGCTTGTCGATCAAGAAAGAAACCCAGCTTCGTGGGGACATCAGCCCACCGCTATAGGGACGATACAACGACTTGCAACTCCATCGCCCTCTGACCGCGTTGATTAGGAAGGGTTTGACAAGGCGACATACTCTCGCCGACATTATTCACCGCGACCTCGCGGTGGGCGATGAAGTTACTGGACTGGGATGAGAGAGGCATGCGAGTTGATGGTAGATTCCTATCGAACCTTGGTTTTGCGGATGATATCGTTCTCTTTTCGTTCGAGCAGTATCACCGAAGCGAAGATGACGCTGAAGGAATTCAACGAAGTGCTAAAGAAGATTTGACTCCGGATAAATTAGAAGAAGACAGTTCATGAAGGGCCTTTTAGAGATGCGGAAATGGAATTGGGAAGTATATCCAGCTCGTAGACGTTTTCTTACACTATCTTGGACGTTCAATGAGCATGGAGGACAGCTTGAGTAAAGAGCTAAACAGGAGAATAAGAGCAGCTTGGGCCGCCTTCGGGCTTCTGAAGGAAGCCACTGACCAACTGACGAACCCGGAGCTTCGCGCCAACTTGCTCGACCTAACGTTCTCTTAGCGCAGCTGAGACTTGGGCCGATATTACAGCCACGTTAAAAATTTCACGAACCCATAAAGATTAGAAACTTCGCAGTGCGGAGAAGAAAAAAATGTCCCGTCCTCGTGATCCAGCGAGATACGTTACGAAAGTAAAACATCAATGGTCGGTCCAGGAGACGGCACGAGCTGAGACCAGCGAATCTTCAAAGCGAAGTCCTCTTTGATCTTGAAAATTCCGTACGAAGCCCCCATTGAAAAAACCGAACGTCGATTCAAAAACGCCACAGTTTTTGTGTCTCTTCGGCCACAGAAAGAAACGATATCCCTATTGCTTTTTGTTCCAAAAACGACATCCAGCTTGACCCGATGCTAGCTGTGCCGAGCCGTGGTCCGGTCATATTATGAGAGAGACAGAGACAAATGGACATTAAGAAAGTCAGGTGTTCGTCGCGATGCCAAACAACCCGAAAGACCTCTTTTCCAATGAAAAGAGTAGACGAGTTCGTGGGCAGGAGCAGGTATAACATCAGCTGGATACCCTTCTCCCACCTCGAACTCGTGGATGCAGCCACAACAACCAAGAAGATCGTGGATGCCCGAAGCGAGGGGCAGGGAGCGCTGGAAACTTCTGAGCTGCGTCCGCACTCCATGTGAAGACGGGACATCTAACAAGGAAAGGAAGGTTGGTCGAAGTGGCCTTTTGAAATGAGGTGTATATTGCCTTGTAGAGCTTGGAACGCCGATTCCAAATCTACCTTTGCTACCTGCTGCGGGCTTCTGGGCGAGGAATTATGAGGGCTTTTGTGAGTAAAAATCTGAATGCAAAAATAGGGTAAAATCAGTCGTAACCTTTTCCCAGTGCTCAAATGAGGCAGCAGCGAATTAGTATATTTGAATTAGGAATATTTGTTGCACCGAGTGACCCGACTACCAATTAAACCCTATAAAAAATGTCACGACTAATTTTAGCCTACTCTTGCATTCAGATTTTTACTCACAAAAACCTTCATAACTCCTCGCCCAGAAGCCCGCAGCAGATAGCAAAAGTAGATTTGGAATCAGCGTTCCAAGCTCTGCAAGGCAGTATACATCTCATTTCGAAAGGCCACTTCGACCAACCTTCCTTTCCTTGTAAGTATTTGAGCATCTAGGTAAGTAAGTATTCAAAGGTCGGAGTGCCGTAACCGCCTAGCAGTGGTTCATATTTAGAGAGCCCGAATTTGATGAGTGGAATGAACAGGCTTATTTCTCCTTGGCAAGGTGTAGACTGCGATGGTGCTTATCTCGAGCAGGGTTATAATCTTTTGGAATTGACGTATGCGAACGGACATTATTTTGCATCCACCTGGTAATCAAATGGGGTTCACACTTGCAATGTAGCACACTCTGCAACACTTCAGTCTTCAACATCGGTAACATTCGGAAAGTGGACTTTACATCACACCACAAAGCCTCAATTTTGAAAACATTTATAACATAGAAACGGCGGCGACTTTAGAAGCGCGAAAATAACTTGGAATAATAATATGGTAAAAACAGAGCAGATAAAAAAATCAATCCCTACTGTAAACAAGCGCGAAACAACAGAAACGAGAAAGAGCTGCGGCTAAAACAGCGGCTAGTGGATGATTTCCTCAACGAACTACGAGCATGGAGCAAGTCGGAATAGCTAACGGATAGGGAGAGGATGCATGTCGACAGTGGGATTGCGCAGTGAAGCTGGTTTAGTGCATTTGAATGCCAGTGATCTCGACGTCTCCGCCGATTTGCAGACCGTTCAGCTCATGGGGTTCGAGTCGGTGCGCGAACGATGTGAATCGTTCACCGTTTACGATGATCTGGAAAAGGCGTATAACTTAAACTCCTGACAGCATAGAAATCACGTTTGCACAATTATAATAAAAATTTTCTAAGGATATGGCAACTGTAGAGGACAAAGGGAATTTTTCGAGAGGAGAAGGGGAGAGGTAGACATTTTTTGAATAAGGAGTGTGGTGTTTGCAGCGATTTTCGCGAAAAAGAAGTTTTTCACAGGGTTAGTCTATATTTTCAAGAAGATTCAAAAAATATTTAAACCACTGAGAATTATACAATACATATCATTTTGAAATCCGTAATTACTTCAAAAAATCTGCGACTTCTTAGGAACTGAACCACCTTTCTTCCGTTTCAAAAGTGAATCAATTCTACCTTTCTGGAATTTTAGTTCGAATTTCATTGAAATTGCGTCAAGCCGACCGTGCTGTCACGCAGTGCCAGCGCCGTTCCAGCGCTGTGCTAGCGCCGTGCCTTAACTCACGTGAACTTACTAATCAACTGACTTTACGGCACGACGCCAACACAACTCTGGAGCGGCGGTGACATGCGCTTGTAGCGCGCACCATGGGCAACTCTAAACGCTGCCTGAGCAATGCATTTTTGACATTTTTATGACTTCGTTGAAGAAAGCTTTCAATTTCGTGCACTTTGAAGGCCCAAAGCTTTTTGAGAACCCCGAGCTTTTTCGTTAAAAAATGGTTCACTATCTCCTGCAAAATTTTTGCAAATCCCGTATAGAGCATTATAGAATTGTTATGTATTGACCACCCCGAAACACTAACTCATATATTTACTTTCAAAATCAAATTTTCAGAACTGCATCTGTGTGACTGACTGGCTCACCTGGAAAGCATATTCCTCGTTTTTGATTTCGAGATCAAAGCCGACAGCCTTCTCGAACGGCATCTTACCCTCACGTTCCTCATTACCCCATTCGTTGCTGATGAGTGAGTTGCGAACAACGGCCTTGAATTTGATAACGCCATTTCACACTTGTCTACGCCGGAGAGAGATAGCAAGACAAGGCCGTACCTTTTCATCAAATCTCGGGTTGAAGTGCAGCGCAATGTCGCCGTTTTTCTTGAGAATGTTGATGTGGAATCGCTTCCCCTTCTTCTCGGGCATTCCGTAGATCATCAGGGTCTTCCCGGGCGCCAGCCCCTCACCAACCAGACCGCTTTCGTAGGGGACGGGCTGAGGTTGGGAGACGATGGCAATGGAAAGTTTGATGGATGGGAAGGGGACTCACATAATATTTGCCGCCCCAGTGGATGTGAGTGATGAGGACATCACCGTCGATGGAGAAGTGCGTGATGGAAGACAGTGGTACACGGTGCTCATATTCTTTCAGTTCCTTCTGAAAATATCCAAAAAAAATTGATTGCCGTTTCCCACTAGCCTCCTGTTTTTTGAAACCAGTAGGGATCTCCAAAAACTTTACTAAGTTTTAATTGTTCATTATGTGTCCTCAGCAATGTGTCAAAGTGTTATCTTTTACTAGTTTGAAATTAGCATCAAAAATAAATTCAGAAAAATTTATTAAGCCCAATGAGCGAAAATGACACTTCCTGAAACATCATTTCGCATCTTACATGAATTTCACCTTTATTTAACAATTTTCCTTTTATGGCTACCTAAGCCCTCCAAAATCCAGATCCAAAATCAACACTAAAAAATCAAAAAGTTTTGATTATGGGAGAGACTATATTCACATCTTCTGATGATGGACTTATGAATGAGTAAAAATGGAAAAACTGAGGCTAGAAAATCCCTCAGATAATCTAGCGTTTCCGCCGCTTTCTCTGCAGAATTGCAAGATTTTTCTTCGGCAACGATTTTTCCCGTTTCAGGCGACCAATTCGTTATGGGCAAGGCCGAAACGAAGAGAAAGTGTCACTGATTGTGTGTCTTAGACATGAAAGAAATAGGATGGCTAAGCAAAAACATTTTGTTTCCAGTAAACTTGGGAAAAATTCGGAAACTTGCAGTTCAGTCATCCAAACAGAAATAAATAGAAGGGTTAAATTGTCGTAAACAAATTTTTGAAAACATAAGTTCTTTCTTCAGTCCTTCTTAGCATTAATCTACCAAAGGCTCCCTTCTTGCAGTTTAATTAACCCAGCAATAATTCCGGTCAAATATCGACCTTCAATTTTCGTAGAAGATATTAAACAGCTGCAATGAAACAATAAATGGTGTGTAATCGCAGAGAATGTCGCTTTCAAGGGCGCCCATTTCATGCTGTCCGCACCCTTCCAATTTGCAGTCTTCGAAAAACCGGTTAAACCTCACCTTGTAAGTGTAAACACCTTCACTATGTACCTGTTTTATATGGCCAGCGAAATATCTGTTTTATGACTCAGGGACAAGATCTGAATTTTTACGCTTTACACGACATTATAAGCGTTAAAATTAAGGTAGTAGAGTATCTTACCACTAGAATTTAAAGTGACTGTCACCAACTTATTCCACGATCGATTTTGTTTTTTAGGCAATGGTGTACTTAAGCAGTCTTTGAGAAATGGGAAGAAAATGAATAATTCAGCGCAAAAATGTCGTTAACGATGAAAAGAGTAATTCTTTTCTGAAGCAAACAGCATTAGAAGTATGAAAAGCAAGAAAATTCTGAATGAGACGCAAAACCAGAAATGCTACTTAATTCCGTCATAAATAAGCTCTAAGTAGATTAGCATAAAGTATCGTTCATTTTATATGTACGGGACAATTAGGGCATCAATCTTAACAGCTAAAAAAGCAGACCAAAAAAAGCTCCATTTTCTTAAATTATTTATGTAAACCATATAGGGTGTGTAAAGGTGTTACTGTTTGATGACTGATAAATCTCCTCCCTTGAAATCTCAAGCGAATATGGAATCGTGTTAAGCTGGCCTCAGCTTAGATTTTTGGTACCTACATCAGTTACACTTTGTTAACTTAGTGCTACTGGAAAAAATTCAAAAAGGGTTATGATACTGAAGCTCAAATTCTACACAAAGGCTTCAAAAATCTGAACTACTACCGCAAAAAAATCAGGTAGGGGATTCGTTAAGATTGGCACCTCGCGTATTGCGTCGCTAAATGTTTGAGCATTTTTATGAATTTTATAGAGTCTTTGGCGAAGCATTGGCCCTCAGAGAAGTTTTTGAAACTCTTTTCAAGGTCCCTACTGTAATTTGACAATAACCCAAAACATACGATGATTCCTGTACTGTGGAGCTAAAACTAAATTGAAGCCAGCTCTCATGCATGTCCGCAGGTCGAGAGATCATAAGGTAAAAGAGTTATCAACGATCAAGTCCCGTATACTTCGGAACACTCTATATATCGTTGGTTGTGCGAGTGCAGACTCGCGAAACCGTCTCTCGCCTTGCGTTTTTTCCAAAAAAACCTCACGATTTTCGAAAACGAGTCAAGAGTTTTGCACTTGGTTGTGTTCACAAGAGTAAAGTGGAATAGTGCAGATCCTTAGCCTCAATGAAAAAAAACGCTCCGACAGGATAGTTCCATCACGGGCCAGCGCATGCTGACTAAGATTAGTACTAAACCAGAAAGTAGGCCAGTTTTTCACCCGAAGCTCTGCGCCGTTAACCGCTTAATCTCGTCCAGTAATTACCCCAGTGCACTCTTTGCTAACGGAAATTGCGGTAGCAGTAGAACTAAAGAAGTTCGTATCCTAAGAAAAAGGGTATAGTAATACCTATGAAGGAAAATTTCGCTAGAAAAACTGGAAAATTTAACAAGCCCCGTTGGTACGGTGTAACGAAGGTTTTCCGGTGTCCATTACAGGTGTATTACGTTCAAAATAATTTTTATGTCAATTTTTTATACAAGCTCAAATAGCACGCCTTAGCTCAAACTGCAACCAATTGTATCATTGTGAATTACTGCAAAAAATGTGGGAACCCTCCCAATCGTTTTTTAGCGTACGATAAAAAAAAAGAATTTACCTGGTCAACAAAGATCTGGAATTTGCTGTCGTGAGCTCGGATACGGATGTCGATGTCATCTCCCTTCTTGTAGGGATTGCTCTTTCTCTCTTCTTTTCCCCATTCTCCCTTGGCGAATGTGTTGCAGACGATCTGGAACAAAATTGGATTACAAAACCAATCAATATGATTGCAATCAATGATCTATTCAAAATCGAGCTTGAGTAGATGCAAAAGTGGTTTTAGGTAAAGGTGGAACAAAGTATTTCCAAGCAAAGGTTTCGTGCATATTTGGGTCAGTACTCCGTACTTTAATGTCTGAAATTTACACCTGGCTACTTCCTTAATGCGATCCGCTAAAGCTGTTTAGCTGGGACGATGACTCTCTATAGCAACGCGCTCAAGTGCGATAAATGCTAGCACTCGTACTAGTATCGCGAATGTCTGAGCAGAAAAAGTTTGGCGCCAAAAACTGGATGGATGTCGATAAAGCTGAATTATACAAACGGAGGGTTTTTCGCATCCATGCGATGCGTCGCGATAAATCACCAAGTATAAACCGAGAGAAAAACTGGTGCAAATCCCATTTATATAGAGTTTTATGCCACTAAAGATGTTTGCCGATAAAAAAAATTTACATTATTGTACCTTTTGAAATTAATCTTCTGATTATCGAAGATGATACAAACACTTTTTTGCAGTTGAAGGAAAGAGATAACAGCTGTTTGGTATAAATTGACGGCTAATATAGTGCTTCTGCAATACCGACAACACCCTAAAAAATAGGCATGGAGCGCACTTTTCTGACTTTACGAGCCACTGACTTTTTTCACGCATAAGTGCTGTCGCTACCGCAGGTGCACACTTAAGTCTTAGAGCTACTAGACTGCATAACATGACTTGTCCGGTTATCCAAACCAAATAAAATGAATCGTAGATTTGTTTTAGCGCAAGTGGACCCATTTGTGACTCAATATGTGAGACTGCACATTGTGCGCTGCATTTCACGACTATTTGTCAGTCAACAGTAATTATAAAACATTCTATTTGAGACGAAATGTTATAAAAAAAATTATTTACGCATGACTTGTGCTATCTACGTTCAAGAAAAAAACGATAAGAAATTTTTAAATTAGCAAGTTGTAAGCATATATGTCGTGGAATACCGCGCGTGTTGTGCACTCCACATATTGCTGCTTTCGATGTGCAGCGATTTGCAGACTGACTGAGCCTCTGTATCTGCTTTGCAATAGGTCTGGTAAGTGTGGATCCCATCATACCTGATAACTCCCCTCTCCCTCCCTCCGTCCCCCCCCCCTTCCCCTCTTCAAAACCGACTAATCCCTCAAAGGAACTCGTAAAAGATATGGATCAGCCGTCGCATGTGGTGTTTGCGTGCTCGCGACTAATGACAGAGTTGTCATAAACTGTCCGAATCGTCAAAGAGCCGTTCGGTTTTTTCTGCGGCCACGGCCAAATGCATTTCACTTGCGCTCTTGCTTAACTAATTCCCCCGTCGCTTTTTACACGGGCATTTGACAGAAATATCAGCGGATCAGCGGATGAATAGGATTATCCGTCGCATATCGCGCGCCAAGGCACAAATTTACGTTGATTGAGTTTTCGCCAGCACAAAACTCTCTCTCAATTGTTTCGGGGCCCCCATAGCTAACGATCTAGTGACGGCCGAGGCGAAATTTTGCAAATCGTACAGTGGTGCCGGAGTGACCGCACTTTTTCGCATGTTTATTCCGTGTCCGAGAATTTCGCTACGTAGCAAACCGAGTGTAATCTGCAGGTAATGCGATTTGCGACGTAAAATACGCGATTGCTCGTTCTTTTGTCGTCTGCTTTTTGCATCGACGACACGGCTACTATGCAAACTGATGAGTGCACAGTTTTGCACTAACAAATGGATTACGGCAAGGTCATTGTAGACTTACCGGGAACGTCACTACCTATCATTTAGCAAACGTAGCATTATAATTACATTCAGGAAATTCAAAAAAATCACTGAATACATTTCACTTCTCATGGAATGCTTCTCTCATGGCTTACGGTGATATACGGTAGGCTTTGCAAGAAAATATAATTACATCATTTGTAGGCCTCGAGTGCTCGTAGAAACGTCTTCAAGTAGACTTATATACATACCGAATTATTGTCGTGAAGAATCTTTCACAGAATCGGTCATAATCAAACAACTACCTTGATCTCGTCGAATTAAAATCAAAAGAATAGTCAATTTATCAAGTACAGAAAGACGACTTTGTTTCTTACCGTAATCCTACAAAAGAGGCTTTCTTTAGATGAAAATTTTCATCAGGATGACAAAATGTATTTCACCACATATGTACGCAGCTTTGCAAAGATAATTTTTACATCGCAAAATTGATATTATAATTTTGTAATAGATAAAATTCTCTAGAACGCCTTACGCACGCACTTCGGCCACCTACCGTACGTCTATCGTAACAATACAAGGGCGAATCGCGCACAATGGTTTTCATCCCTATATTTGACTATCTCTAAACAAGAATAGAATCCGGCTTCGAAACCAGTGCCTCATGCACTTTGACCACTTACCGTATACCTACCGTAACCACAAAAGAAAAGCTTATTGCACTTTTTTATCCCTTTTGACGTTAATCACCGTATGCCTACCGTAGTACCATACAAAGCGCTAGCCGTCAGTTACTTACTAATTTTTATTCCTATGTTTCGAATAATCTCTAGACAAAAGGTTGAGATCTGATTCCGAATTAATGTCCCATTGCCCTTTCAGCATCTACCATGACCGTAACCCCACAAAAAGGGTTGAGCAATGTTTGTCGCTTTGTACCTATGTCAATTTCCTTAGATTGTACAAAGTTTGGGTTTTGCTGTTTTAATGCTCAAAGTGATTGCAAGGAATCTTAGGTATGAAAAGAGTAAGCTCACGAACCTTGCCTTCGTCGAAGCGCACGCTGACATGAAGGGGAACATCGTTGCCGGAGAAGTCGGCAGCAGCGTTGTGCAGGTTGATGGTGAAGCTGGAAAGAGCAGAATGTTTTTTGGCGCTCGAGCTCCGCGAGTGCAAAAAAAATCCCTCGCCCGACCCCTTGCTCTCTGCTCTTTCGCATGCAACTCTTTGTACTTGCTTGCAAGCGATGTTTACAGCTTGTTTGTTCTTGCAACTTTGACGCACTGACGATGTAACCCGCAGGGCTCAGGGGCGATCTCGCAACAAACCGCTGTGTCTGTGTAAAGTGCGGCCGGGCTGCCGCTCGGCTCTGGCATCGCACTCTCTCTCGCCGCGCTCGACGTCGTCGATACCGGTTCCACCAGCACCAGCACTGACTGCCATCATTTCTCCCTCTCGGACATACAACCCACACATTCCACAGAGCGCACATTCACGTAGGTACACACACAGCAGCACACACAGCCCCATTTGGAGCAAAATCTGAGAGGGAAAAGATCTGGCTCCGCTCTACTCACCGAACGGAGTCCTCGCCGGTCTTGCCCTTGACGGTGAGCGTCTGGCCGGGCTCGAACGGCTCGGTCAGCTTGCTTCGGTAGGGAATTGGCTGGAATAGGTGTTGTGAAGAGTGTGAAGGTGTTATGAGAAGCCGCTTTGATTAACGCCCTGACACGGAGCGCCGGGAAGGAGATGAGGAGGGCAGCGTGCCAGGAGAAAAGTGCCCCCATTGCTAAGGGTAATCGATCTACTGCCCGGTGCTTTCTTGTGCCCAGAAAAGGACAGAACTCTAGGTTAGTAACAGGAAATACGTAAACTAAAGACTTACGTAGTTGGTCTCGAAGGCCATGGCGAGTTTGAACAGCTACCTGAAAGCAGTTCCTCTTAGAAACTATACTTCATAGGGGCGTTGTTTTGACGGCGTTGAGAAAACAAGCGAGCGCATTGAAGATTCATGAGCTGCGCATAGAGTATGATTACGAGAGAACGAGCCAAACACTCGACACCTACAATTTGCGGAACTAAAAAGGACGAAATTGGCTAGCATAAAATCGAAAAAAATTGTAAGTAAAAGATCTGCAAAAAAAACACTCTCTAGTAAATAAAAATTAGCTAAGTATGAGTCAATAAAGACATTATTCTAGCCACCCTTTCCCTACCTGGTTCCAACAATCGTTAAAATCATTGGACATACCCCCCTCCCCCTCGATGAAAAATATGGTGACATTTAACGTTGGAAAGAGTCATCACATTTCCATGGGTAGCGCAGAATTTCACCGTTGAAGAGGCGGACCCATGGGGTGGAGTCAGCCACACGAACCCGGGGCGCACGATTGATTAGTAAATAAATTTGCCGTGAAGGGATTACAGGCATCAATGAAACATTTTAAAGCAATGGAATGTTGCCAGTGATAGCTAAGAGTATGTTTGCGCATTGTTTTGGAGAGAGAGAGTGGGTGATAAAAAGCGGAGAGCGAGATGAAAGCGAGATGTTGGAAAATCTTAGGGTCTTGCCATAAGATTCTAAGTGTATCGGATCTCAGGGCTATCGTATTTCGAAGGGGATATTGTTGCGAAAACTAGTTCGAGAGATGTGATTAAAAGGTTAAGCGGATGAAAAAGTTTGCACCTCGGATTCTCTGCAAGTTAAGCTGAGATTATAACTGGAAGTGGCAGCAAAACGTATGTAGGGCTCATTTTGCAGAAAAAAAGCAATTCACTTTAGCTTTTCACAAGGGAGAAAAATTAGGTTTTGCGGTCTAAAATGTAAAGATAAAAACAAATATCCGATGCTAAAGCCCAGAATGGTTCCAAGAGAGCAAACTGCGAAAACTCAGAAACGACATGGATCCAAGGCACGAAGGCCAGAATGCGGCTCGGCCTTGGCTTGTTTTGGCTCTGAGACGTTCGAAAAAATGAGAGGAGGAGCCGCTAAGCGAAGTGAAACGATGACGACGAAGCGACAACGATGGAGGCAGTAACGAGAGCGGGAGCGAGCGAGAGAGTGCAACGCAGCCCAGCCAGTGGCGGTGATCGCGCCTAGGCGGTTCGAGAAGAAGTGAGCGGATATCTGGGCCAGAATTGCACGACACACGGCTGGCGCCAGTCGCACCATATATGCAAATGAGAGAGAAATCAAGTGAGTCGCGGGGGGGGGGGAGGAGTGATGACAGGATTGAGCGACAGCGACAGCGCTTTGCAGCTCGTTTCAGCGCGACGACATGGGATAAGAGGAGCGCGATCGCAAAGCAGAGAGCCGCTGCCGATTTGCGGGGTTAAACACGGGGGGGGTGAAAAGTCGCGATGTGCTTGCTATGTGTGACTCATCTATGGCTATGTGTGTTCGAAAGGCGAACGCACGGACTACAACGAGGGGCAGACGAGGCCGCCGCCGCCGCGCGCCGTCGCGATAAAAACAGCGCCAGCATAGTTTTGCGCTGGCTGGCGCGATCGCCGCCTGGCTCGGCCCAATGCAATTTTACCCCCGGCTCTCCTTAGAGGGGCTTCGTGCTAGTCTTCCAGAGCTCCTCCGAAGAAGGCGCGATCGATTTCTGGGTAATTTCGTCACAGTTGCAGCTTGCATAGGAGACGAAATAGGGAAAGTTGAAGAATCTCCTTGTAGCAGAGCCCAGTCCTACGGCACCACTAGCATACGGCACGGCTACTATTCCCATTTGTGTGTAATATTGCGATCGCTGTGAAGAAATTCGAGCGTACGAAGAGACACATTGTGCACTGCGCAGCCGTTGATGCAAATCTACACTTCACGATGGCTAGTACTATCAGGTCGCAACCCCTCGTAACTTTTTTTTGCAAATCACCGGGTGACACCGCGCACTTATAATCGCTGATTCTAAAAGTTTGCACACGATCCAAGATTTTTTATTGCTGCGCTAAATCAGAAAACAGTGAGATCTTGTAATGATCACGTTGGTCCACAAGTCTTACACGAAATTTTTTTTGGAAGGGGGAGATATTTATGCTTTCGACAATTCTGAACTCATTATAGCTTAGAAGGAATTCATACGCTTTTTGATAATGCCTAAAGCCAACCCCCATTGGCATATCGCGGTGATACAAGCTGATTGAGTGAAATAATTCGCACCATTTTTCTGGTATTTGGTCTTTAATGCTAGAAGGTCCAAAAGATCTAACTTTATTTTTGAGCATGGTTTTGTGACTAACTTTTCTCAAAAGCAAGAAATTTGGTGAATTTGGTGATTAGACGTTTCTACCAAAACTTGGGATTTTCGATTTTTTTATTCGACATTTCAATTTTTTGGGTTGAATTTCTTACATGCATAGTCAAATAAAGTACAAATATTATAGGTTTAAAAGGTTCAAAGATTATGAATAAATTGAAACGCTTCTGCAAGTATTTTAGGTGAATTTCCATTTTTCTTTGCAAGAGTTATGGCAACCTGATATAAAACTTATTTGTGAGATTTCGGAAAAATATCAAGCACGATAGCAAACTTTTTTCATCCCTTCAAGGGCATCAACGAATGCATAAAATAAAACCAAACAAAAATCACTCAGGCATCATTAACCTAACCTTGAGGGCAGCAAATCATATCCAGACACAATCTTTCTACCATGTTACAAAACATCAGAGCTATATATAAATCGAGTAATGGAATAATCATGGGTTTCGCTTCATTATATCAAGACCATGAGCACTCCTTCAGAGTCAGTCAAGAGACATTTTGATTGCACTCTTTGGTACAAATAATTCATTCGCAATGAATTCTAAATCAAGAATTTCAAAAAAATCGTTATCAATGTGATTTATATCATACATTCAAGCAATTTATACAAATGTTTGTATCAAACTGAACTTGACGCCACTTTCGCTTTTTTACTGATTGATATTCGCACATTCAAGCACATCTGTGGGCTACAAATTTTGAGTTCTTGGAAAAATGAAAACATGTATTTGGCGTTTTCACTGGTAGCCTTTAGCCTTTAAAATTATCGTAAAAGGCTAATCGCATTTATTTAACGATTCCAAGATGCCTTTTCCATGCATTAGCGCATATTAGAATAAAGATGCTAAAACCATTTCCTTCTGAATACCATTATTTACTTTTTGAGATTACAGAAAATTCTGAACGTTTAGGCTCAAGAATTTGAACACACAAACATTGTAAACTCGTTTATCAATGTTTAAAAGGCTCGTTATTTCAACACCGTCCAATACATGACCATCTGCGTCTATTCATAACACACCCTTTTGATCAAACAAAAGCCACTTCTACTGTGATGTCACGGCAATGTTTACACAGTTTTTCCACTTTGTAAGGTTAAGCGTTGAATTTCCGCTGACGATGAAGCATATTTTGAAAAATGCCTGCTGGCGATTGAGAAAAATCACAATGACGTTTGCCCAGTAGAAAGAAAGTAAGGCAAAATTCCGCATTTTATTTCCGAAATGTCTTCGTTGAAAGGAAAACCTTATAAACTCAATGCAATGATTTTTTTGCTATATTTTTCGCAGGAATCAGGGCTCAGCACAGGTGGCCTATAAGCAAGTTGGGTATCGTTTTTGGGACAAAAAACAAAGGGGATATCGTTTCTGTTGGCCGAAAAGACACAAAAATTGCGATGCTTTTTTGAGTCGCCGTTTCATTTTTTGAGAATTTTTCACGTTTAGGGTTTAGGTTCAAAGGGGACTTCGCAAAATCTTGCAAAATGCAAAAAGCGAAGTCAAGGGAGACTTCGCTTTTTGCATTTTCGGAAAGCCACCTCATACGGAGCCCCTGGCAGGAATCGACCAAGACATGAAAATGGCTTCATTCCATCCATTTGTTAGATTGACTGAAGCGTACTGATTTTCAAATTAATTGCACGTTTTCGTTTTTAGCTTCATAAAATGTTCGCCCTGGTACTCCACCTCCGTTTTGACGAATGGGGGGACTTCATCTTAGAGAAATTGGGCCAACAGGGAGAAAAAACAAAAATTTTCCAAAAGAAGAGGCTTCAGCCAGATCTTCCAAGAAATTTTTTAAAGTGCTTGTTAACTTTCTGAGCAGGTTTATAAATCAATTTTTCCAAAAGGGCGTAGCAAAGCTTCCAAAGATTTCACAATGCTAAAAACGATTTTCGTAGAACTAGAGATTATTTTGGTTATTTAGATACAAAGCCAGTTACCTTCGTAACTCTATCTGATGTAAACTTTCTGTAACTTTTCATTCATAAGGTCTGGCGAGGGGGGTTGAGGGAAATGAGTTGTTTGTTCTTCATTGGTTGCCCTTAAGGGTGATCTACATATGAAAAGTGGATCCTCATAGAAAGGTGAAAATGTAAACCATCTCTTCCCAACAATATTTGGTTTTGTGAGTATGTAATATGAATTCGGTGAAAAATTGTGAACAGATTCATCAGATATGAAGCCATCAAGTGTTGCAAAAAGCAATACAGCAAGTCCTCATTCTCAGAAGTGGTCTCGCTAATGCAATCATGCAGTCTCGTCATTGTTTAAAAACACTGATTCATCTCTTGACTTGCTTTTTTCCCGAAAGCGGTAGCACAAGTGCTCGGCAAGCAATGTGCCCAAAAATAAGCACTCATTGTCAAACAGGCAGTTATTGTTCGTGCAGTGTTGGAAGACTTTCTGAGAGCAAATTGCTGGTTATTTTTGACGGTCGTAAATAATTATATGGCCACTAAAGCTGCGATACAAGTTCAGGTTCTCAACCCAGTTTCCGCATTTTCTCGGCAATTTGGTGTGAAATTTCACAGTAGCGAAGGAAAGTGATAAGCCATACGTGGACACATATCTTTCTAAGGGCCGCATGCACTAACATGGCCGCGGGGAGGGGATCGCAGCTTAAAAGAAAGCTTCATATT